GCTTGCCTTTGTGCTTGGTCCTGGCGTCATATGACCTGCCCGGGTGCATGTGGATCCCAGTTGGCAACCCATGTCTGTTGGCACGAAATGCTTCCAGAGCTGCAGCCGCCATATGGGAGGATGGGAAAGTTATTCTCATTAGTCGAGGTCTAGAATCACCGTCCTGCTTGGCTAGTCTCGTCACATGCTGAGTCAGTATGTTTTTGAGCCTCAAGGACTGCTTGATGAATTTCCATTCCCGAATGTCAGAGTTTGCTTGACTAGGGTCCGTGTTTTCCAGTACACCTTGCACAATGATATTTCTTCCGCGGAAAAACTTCTCTCGAGATTCTTTAGGGATGTTCCGGATGAGATTGCGCTCAGAATACGGTATGTCGGGCAGTATTCTTACGTTCCCATTGGATTTCAGTAAATGACTAGCTAGCAGGACATCCTCTACGTCGGTAGCATTCTTAAGTGTTACACGAAGTAGCCTCGGGTGATTTTGATGCTTAGATTCTTTTCCCTGAGTGAGCCGTGTCATCGTCAAAGGCTCTATTCTAGGAAGTTCGAGCTTTTTGTTCAGTTCACTCCAGAGCATCCTGTCGTTTTTGTCCTGCAAACTGAGAGGAAGGTCAGGATTGTCTATGAGGTTCATGATTATGAGAGAGTCGTCACGGACCGTTGTTGTTTTCTCAGGTTTTCCGGTGCGTTCAGGTTCAGTACGTTGTTGTTTGGAGGTCAAAGCAGGTTTTTGAGTCGTAGGCTTTTTAATAACCGGGCGGACGTTTTTGGGGGTAGACTGAGCGATCAAAGCACCAGTTGATGTCCGTACAACACTTGGGATGTCAACCTAAGACGGTGACACCTGGTCCTTATTAGCTCTGTTGGCGTGGGTACAGTCACCTGCAGAGTTTTTAGGAACCACTGTTGCGTTTAAGGACCCTGAACTGGAAGATCCAAGCTTAGTGAGGGAGTGAATTACCGTCGACGTAATGATGGTGCTGAGTTTCAACATGTCATCATTAGAGCTAATACATGCTCCATCGATGGTAGACCTATCGACATCCCTATTCTTGTTTTCATTGCGTGCCCTTGTTTGTCTACCTGTTTTATGACTGTATTTTTCCAAGTTTGCTGACAACTTACTCCGCAAACCTGTCAATAGGACAATAATGTTACTCAGCAATACTACAGCATCCGTGCTGGATGTAACACATACCCACTTATGACCCGACTTGCTGAGTCTGTTGTAAGCAGTTTCCGTGAGATCTGTGCACGCTTCATGGAACCAACCTTTGCAGTCATGAAAAATGCATGCAAACGACCTGGATGCCGTTTTGCTGTTACATCTGGCATGCAGTGCGACAACTGCAAAGGTTGGTTCTATGAAGCGTTCACAGATCTCACGGAAACTGCTTACAACAGACTCAGCAAGTCGGATCATAAGTGGGTATGTGTTACATCCAGCACGGATGCTGTAGTATTGCTGAGTAACATTATTGTCCTATTGACAGGTTTGCGGAGTAAGTTGTCAGCAAACTTGGAAAAATACAGTCATAAAACAGGTAGACAAACAAGGGCACGCAATGAAAACAAGAATAGGGATGTCGATAGGTTTACCATCGATGGAGCATGTATTAGCTCTAATGATGACATGTTGAAACTCAGCACCATCATTACGTCGACGGTAATTCACTCCCTCACTAAACTTGGATCTTCCAGTTCAGGGTCCTTAAACGCAACAGTGGTTCCTAAAAACTCTGCAGGTGACTGTACCCACGCCAACAGAGCTAATAAGGACCAGGTGTCACCGTCTTAGGTTGACATCCCAAGTGTTGTACGGACATCAACTGGTGCTTTGATCGCTCAGTCTACCCTCAAAAACGTCCGCCCGGTTATTAAAAAGCCTACGACTCAAAAACCTGCTTTGACCTCCAAACAACAACGTACTGAACCTGAACGCACCGGAAAACCTGAGAAAACAACAACGGTCCGTGACGACTCTCTCATAATCATGAACCTCATAGACAATCCTGACCTTCCTCTCAGTTTGCAGGACAAAAACGACAGGATGCTCTGGAGTGAACTGAACAAAAAGCTCGAACTTCCTAGAATAGAGCCTTTGACGATGACACGGCTCACTCAGGGAAAAGAATCTAAGCATCAAAATCACCCGAGGCTACTTCGTGTAACACTTAAGAATGCTACCGACGTAGAGGATGTCCTGCTAGCTAGTCATTTACTGAAATCCAATGGGAACGTAAGAATACTGCCCGACATACCGTATTCTGAGCGCAATCTCATCCGGAACATCCCTAAAGAATCTCGAGAGAAGTTTTTCCGCGGAAGAAATATCATTGTGCAAGGTGTACTGGAAAACACGGACCCTAGTCAAGCAAACTCTGACATTCGGGAATGGAAATTCATCAAGCAGTCCTTGAGGCTCAAAAACATACTGACTCAGCATGTGACGAGACTAGCCAAGCAGGACGGTGATTCTAGACCTCGACTAATGAGAATAACTTTACCATCCTCCCATATGGCGGCTGCAGCTCTGGAAGCATTTCGTGCCAACAGACATGGGTTGCCAACTGGGATCCACATGCACCCGGGCAGGTCATATGACGCCAGGACCAAGCACAAAGGCAAGCTGGAGCTGACCATCCCACCTGTGGACTGTCTTGAGGATAAAAAACATTTAAAAAACAGGCTCTACCAATTCGGCAAACATTACATAGGCAGGCTACCTGTCCACTCACGTATGGCTCATAAAGATAAACATGAAGAAGCTTACGCATTTCAAATCGAAAGCATTAACTGCCCATACATGAACGACGCGAGTCTGTCAAACATAATGGATGAGTTACGTGAACTTAACAATGCCAATAAGGTTCATCTGATAGGAATACCTGAAACTTGGGTATCTGCTCAGTATTCGGACCAGGAGCTAGCAATACCTGGGATGTCTCTGTTTCGCAATGACAGAAAAACAGGAATTGGAGGTGGAGTAGCCCTATACATACGATCTGGCTTGGAGGTACACCAAGTTCACAACCATGAGTTTGACAATCTTCAGGAATCTATATGGTGCCTAGTCGGAGTCATATATAGGAAGCCCACTGACGACATCGAGTATGACAGTCGTATGCTGGAAGGACTATCCCGCTCTACTCATCTCGGTTTCACTCATATCCTGACTCTAGGAGACTTTAATCTCCCTAGAGTCAACTTCGCGGAACATACGTATACTGGAGGTGAAAATTCAATTGAAGCTCGGTTCTTCAACCTCATTGAGGATTTGGGATTATACGAAAATGTGAAATCGGCAACTCGTTGGAGGAACAGCCAGACACCGTTGCGCTTAGAATGTGTTTTTACAGACGAAGAATCTCTAGTTGACAACCTCTCAATTCCGGCTCCCCTGGGGAAAAGCGATCACGCCGTTATAGCCTTCAGTTTTGTCAGCAAAACTGAGCTAAGATATCCCAACAACAACAACAGGCACTGGGATTTCAAACGGTTGAATGCGTCTGCTCTACATGACTATCTGCAACAGGTCGATTGGGATGTTCACCCTCAACTTGATGTTGATGCTTATTGGGACTCTTTACTGCACACGCTCTTATGTGCTACAAAGCATTCAGTTCCTCAAACGGTCCCCAAAAGCCACAAGCAACCTACAATCATTAAAAACCACACTCTTCGTTTGTTAAACCGCAAAAGGCACTTTTGGACAGAATACAAACGAACTGACAACAACAGCGCGTACAGGCAATACAAACATATAAGGAACATATGCACGAAGGCTATAGGAGAAGACAGGCTTCAGTACCAGATAAAGCTTATGGATAAATTTATTTCCAATCCGAAAGGCTTATTCCGTTACACAGCCTCTCTTCGTCAAGCCAAAACTGCAGTTTCTCAACTGCTAGTTCCTAACGGCCGACCGATAACGACGGTGACGCCGCTAACCTTCTGGCTGAGCAATACTCTCGGACATTACAACCGAACCATATCAATTTAGGAGTTGTGGTGCCTTACGACCTAGTCTTACGCTAACTTTGACAGAAATGTCTCAGTACTAACGTATGAGGTCACACCCAGAAATTGGAGGTACAACATAGCAGAACATTATGTTCCGAATAGAGCTGATGTACAAAATCTAAATAATGTCAATGGAAATTCCGTTTATTTTTGACTTTCGGCCTTTATTTTACAAATTGTATCATTTGCTTTAGGAATCCAGTTTTAAATTATAAAAGAGCACACAGTCGACACAAATTTTAAAGGTAAAAATATAGACAATGCGCTGCATGAGAAATCCATGCGGATGGTTATTTTTGTACAACACGTGGTATTTTATTGCTTACGAGATGAACTTCCTGGCATTAAGGATTGTCTGTCATCGCATTACTGTTTCCATCTTTACATAACCCGGGCAGCATCACTGATGAACAAGGTGGATATGATGCAGATATGAAGGCGTGAATAGGCAAAGCAAGTGAAGCGTATGCATAATTAAAGGACTTATGGAACTCAAAACAACTGTCAACCAACATCAAAATCAGAATTTTCAATACCAATGTCTAAGCAGTTCTACTGTACGGGGTGGAAACCTGGAGAACTACGAAGGCCGTCATCCAGAAGATATGTGTTTATTAACAGTTGTCTACGCAAAATACATAGGATTCGTTGGCCAGATACTATCAGCAATAACCTGTGGGAGAGAACAAACCAGATCCCAGCGGAGGAAGAAACACTGGAAGTGGATAAGATACACATTGAGGAAAGCATTTAACTATGTTACAAGGCAAGCCCTCACCTAGAATCATCAAGGCCAAAGGAGAAGGGGACGACCAAAGAACACATTACGCCAAGAAATGGAGACAGACATGAGATTGAACAACAATTGGATAAAACTAGAAAGGAACGCCCAAAACAGAGTGAGTTATAGAATGCTGGTCGGCTGCCTATGCTCCACTGGGAGTAACAGGTATTAGTAAGTTAATAAAAATCATTTAGTCTCAACGGTTTTAAAGTTTTTATTTTCATACCAAATAAAGATCTACAAGGATATTTATGTGATACATAAACTAACGTAGAAGTAATGTAGAATAGTTATAGCCAAAACTAAGTACAATCTATAGATGTTCATAAAGAAAGTAATCAGAATAACAGAAATCCATTAATCTAAATTAACTGAGATGGACATGATTGAGAGTTGTAAATGTGCATGATTTCAAATATATCTTTTTCTGTGCATGAAGATTTACCTAACAACTGTTGACGTATAATTAAAGCCAAAAGTGTGTTAAATCGTAATAATATCACATCATTATACACCCATTCATTTGATCCAACCTAAAGATAAGAATATATAATTATTGCTGTTCATATTCAGTGAATGAACAATAAAAATAACTTATGTTCGAATATTCGATATAATAGGAAGGTACTAAAACTAAAACTGTGAACTTTGTTGAAATCATCAAGCGAGGAATATTTAAGCACCACAAATAGAATATAAATTAAGAAATACTGGAGTTGATATACTGACGAGTAGCTAAACTGAAAACAACTTCTCTAGTTCTTATTAAATTATAAACTGCATCATGATAAGTTTACTAATGACTAAAAACATCAATTACTGGAAGCATGATAAGCAGCTTTAATGTTAGCATGCTCAGTAAAAAGCATCAAGTTCGAAGGTATATGTATTTAGGAAACTCTGAAGTATCCCTAAAGACGAGGAATCTACAATCTAGAACAATACAGTTTTTAGTGGTTTTCTCTTATAACAACAAAATTATAGGATAACTAGGTAAGTAAAAATGTTGTAGATATATTCACGGAAAAATTAGGTAGAAAAGTAATAATTCACCAAACTCAATAGCCCGTAACACAATGATGGTGGCCATGGAATCAATGTAACTAAAATGGACTAAGGACTCACAATATAAAAAAATATAACTGCTTAAAATCTCTAATTTGAAGTTGATCTTTGTTAGTGGGACATGCACGATTGCGTTGGTGCACGCTGATTGACTAATTCTTATCCAATCAACGCTAGTCGATACTTGTAGGACGCTACAATCTTCTCATGTAAAAACTATAAATATATTATCGCTTTTCTTGTTGTGTTTCATACTTCCATTTACCCTTGTTATTTGGAATATAATTTCATTGCTGTTCAACCGTGTTCTGATTTGTGGACTTATCGAGTGAATTGGTGTCCAAGAATAGGAATACATGGGTTGTAAAATAAAAGGAAATTATGATAATTTCAATTTGAGATGGCGGAGATTTGTTCTCTGAGCTGAATGGTTTGGTCGTGGAGATCTCATTGTTCTTCTGAACGACATCATCAGCACCAACTTCAGATAGAAAGCTCCACGAAGAAACCATCCAGCTCAGAGAACAAAACTCTATCAAAATTATGAGATCGTACTAACTGAAAGAATCGAATACTATAATAATGCATTTCTTGTTTATTATTAATTATCAACCTATTTCAACAACCACTAGATAGAACTCAACAATGTATGACTTACTTTGTCCAGTAATACTTCAGGCAATTGTTCAACAATATCAAATGCCAAATATTGTAATTGTTTAAGAACATCAGATTTAGCAGTAAACCATCTTTCATTTAAATAACGATTAATTTTGTGACCAGATGCTAACAGTTTCAAAAACCGTAATCGAAAATCCTGTACTTTATCAGTCTGAAGAACACAATGTAGAAAACTTGTCATAACCATATGAAAAGGGCAAGTAATTACTAAAAATGACTAATAAATATCAAATTGGTCAATAAAATCTAAAGAACAAATTGAACTGATTGTTTGATAGTGATTTGTGAACATAAGATCATTCTGAATGCATGAATTGATGACAAAGTGGGGTTTAATATTCTACTAAAATCTTCAAAGAACTGATCAAAGTTTTAACATTCAAATTTAGTCACAAAGTATCAAATGCAATCGATTGAGTGATGCAGAATGATATGAATTCACTATATTTCGTAGTTTCTCATCAGTTGCTTACAATCATGAGTTTTCAGTATGTATGAAGTGTAAAATACGCTGAAGTTAATACCACTTTCACTATCAGATACTGATAATAACTGGCCACCGGGCTTAATGTACTTAGAACAGTAATGTTTTACGTCTGGACATGTAGATGTCTCGCCAGGACGATAAGTAATTCATTTTTTCAAATACCTAAGGAGTTTTAATCACTCTCTGGAATATCAATATTAGGAGCAAAAATCTCGCGGAACACTAGATACTAACCTCAAACAACTAAGCAAACAACGAGGAATATCGTTACATAACATTTAAAAAGATATTCATCAGATATTGACATAATCTTACAAGACTAGAACTTAATTTTTGATGGAGTTTTGTTCTCTGAGCTGGATGGTTTGGTCGTGGAGCTTTCATCGGTCTTCTGAACAACATCATCAGTACAAACTTCAGATAGAAGTGAAGTGTTTGAATTTCTCCATACGCGTTTCATAGCTTGTTCTGTACACCTCGATGTTGATTGGTTCTTATTGACCTTAAATTTGTCATCACTCAAAACTTCTGGAATCAGTGAGGAAACACAACAAGAAACAAGACAAGCTATAGTACCGCTAACGCAACAGGTGAAGGAAAACAACCAACTGACTCCACAAAAACAAAAAGCTTTGAAGGAACTTAGAGCTAGAAAGGATATTGTCATAGTTCCAGCGGACAAAGGACGCACAACAGTGATTATGGACAAGGAGGAATACGTCAAAAAAGCCGAAGAACTACTTGAAGATAAGAACACATACAAACTGATGAATATAAATCCCGTCAAGAAATTAAACAACAGAATCTCAAAGACTTTAAACAAGCTAGTCAAAGCAGGAGAAATAACAAAACAAGACCAATAGAGAATGAAATCCAATGGACCAGTACCCCCTCGATTCTACGGCAGACCAAAAATACACAAACCAAACATTCCACTACGTCCAATTGTAGCACTCCCCGGAACGCCAACACACAATTTGTCAAAAGAAATTTCACGAATACTGAAACATTTAGTCGATTCATCCAAACACTCCATCGAATCCCCTACACAATTCCTGGACCGAATTAAGGACACTCAAATCAACAACGACGAACTGATGATATCCTTCAATGTAGCAGCGTTATTCACCTCAATTGAACCAACGACAATCTCAAAAAGTACACGAAGCTTCAAACCCAAAGTCTACTAGAACTCATCGATTTATACCTAACAAAATATTTTCAATTCAACAACAAAATCTACGAACAAACGAAAGGGATACCAATGGGGTCACCAATATCAGGACTGATCGCAGAAGCAGTGATGCAAAGACTAAAAGCCGCGATATTACCAGTGATCGAACCAAAAATTTGGACTCGCTATTTAGACGACACATTCGTCATCGTCAAAAAGAATGAGCTAGAAAACACTTACAAGCTGATCAACAACGTCTTTGATGGCATCAAGTTAACAATGGAACAGGAGTCAAACAACAAACGATCATTCTTGGATATATTAATCACTAGAACCGACACAGGAAAACTAGAAACTCAAGTATATAGGAAACCGACCCATACAGATCAAATTCTTAACTAAAATAGCAACAACCCAAGAGCACATAAAATTAACTGCGTACACACTTTGTTCAAGAGGGTGAGGACACACTGGCAGCACGAAGAAAGGAAGAGAAATACCTGAAAAACGTACTTTAAAAGAACGGCTACTCAGTCAACTTCATCAAAAAATACCAACCACATGCAACATCAGAGCCTAAATCAAGCACAGAAATCAACAAACGGATCACCCTACCATAAATAAATGGCATATCAGAAACCGCAATGAGACTGCCAAAAACCTTCGGGATAGGTTATATATTTAAACATAAATATTGGTACAGGGGGGCACCAAATATATATGCGCCACACAAAACAATGAGAATTTAAGGAGGAGAAAAAAAGGTAAGGAACGTAGGGAGTTATAAAAAAAAGAACAATAATGGGGGAAACGAAAAGGTACAATCAGAAGAAAACTTAGTTAAGGAAAAAGCAACCACTCTTTATGAAGAAAGTAATAGAAGGTTACAGCACGATCGCCACTGGCTTCTATTCTGAACCATATCTGATAACGTCTCCAGCCACTGTGTTGCACCATCTCTCGGACCCCAGCCAGGGAGTTGTGAAGGACCAACAGAAGCTAGCCCTTTGCAGCTTTCTTTCATACCACGACACCATGTCACGTACTGACCACCTCTCCGCTTTTCCCAACCAGTCCCAGAGTCGGCAAATAATGCACGACGAGGAATTCTGTGGGACGACATTCGTAGAACATGTCCAAGTCACCGAAGTCGGTGTTTCAAGATGGTGACACCAATCGCATTATCGTCTCTGTGCCCGAACACACGATGCCGAACCTCTGCATTACTAACATGGTGTTGCTACTGGATGTCAGCAATCCTTCGGAGACAGCGACGATCGAACACAGAGAGTCTTTTAACATCGAGATAGGTGTGGCACACAAGCCGACAAAATCACTACAATCAGTCCTATGCAAACCAAAGGATGGAATAACAAAAGAAAACAAATCAAACATCATCTACAAAATAAATTGTGCCAACTGCAACAAACACTACATCGGACAAAGCGGATGTCACCTTCACCTTCGCCTACATGAACATCAATTAGCAGTCAAACGTCATGATATCTCTTCACTTATATCAATACACGTGGACAACTGCGGATACTCATTCGATTGGAAAAATGTGGAAATCTTGGACAGAGGAAATTCCAAAAACACCAGAGAATTTTTAGAAGCCTGGCACTCAGGTCAATCAGCAATCAACAAACACATTGAAATTGATTCAATTTATCAACCAATCAGGAAAATTATGCACAAATATAGGAACAAAAATCAAAACAATGTGAGACAACCAAAACAAAGTAAACAATGACAAATTTAAGGTCAATAAGAACCAATCAACATCGAGGTGTACAGAACAAGCTATGAAACGCGTATGGAGAAATTCAAACACTTCACTTCTATCTGAAGTTTGTACTGATGATGTTGTTCAGAAGACCGATGAAAGCTCCACGACCAAACCATCCAGCTCAGAGAACACAAAACTCCATCAAAATCATCCACCTGCCAGAAATCAAAAACTGTATACAGACTGAATAAATCACTAGAATACTGACATATTTTAACTAACTCACTGGATCTGATGCAGGAAAATATTGATTCAATTTGGTAAAACACGGTGTATAGTCACTTGTTGATGAAAACGATTCCAAGTATAAATGCATAATCTAAATTGCAGTAAGATAAAAGAATTTCTGTCTGATTAATTAATCCGGGAGAATAGGATTCTAGAGCAATAAAAATTCAATGCAAGATGATTTTTTTTAATTTTGGGGTATAGAGATGGTTTAAGTCTAATCTACACTCCAAGCATCAACACAGAAAGCATATTTCTTTGTATAAATCTTTGAAACTCAAACTTTATCATTCATAATCCAATCTCCTCTCCACCTCAGCTATTCTCGTGCTTTCCTTGATGCATGACAGATAAACTGTCGCTAGACATACAATAAATACTTAGTAGATCCAGTTTTTTATCATTAAAGACTAAAGATTGCAATAAAATAAACACACAGTAAAACTATTCACATGGAAAATAAAAATGGAACAGACGAACAACAGTTAACTTTATTTAGTGAATCCCATAGCTAGCCTTTAGGAAGTTTAGAACATGATAACACCAAGTTCTCGAAGAGTCCCGCCAACTCGGGACCTTAAGGATGAGTATTTACACAATCTTCTACACCAACCAACAAATTGTGTTAACTAGATTATAACGGTTTAAGTGCTATGTAATTGTTCCACAAGCTTAAAAACGATTTTGTCGGTGATGTGCTTAAGTGAACTCAGTTGACAGAGCTGAGTACTTTAGTTGAGATGCTTAAAGCTAGCTAACTAATTACCCAGTCGTAAATTGGATGAAGCGTCAACATATTATTAACAAACAATAAGAATACGATCGCTAATTTTTTAAAGCAAATGAAAACATTGCAGTTCAACAACTCCAAACTCATGAAATGAGTTTGTGAACATGATATAAGACTAACACCTTAAAACATATATCTATGCTTGTCAAGAGTACTTAAGATCGGTTGGACCCGGAAACACATAACTAATAAAAGAGCACTTCAACAACATGATTTGTACATACATCTGTTAATCTTCTACGCCGTTGTCTATCATTATATTATTTTAACAACGAAAATAAGAACACCTAGAATTCTGGACAAAATATATGCACTCATGTAGCAAGAATAAAAAATCATATTGATGCACAACAACATAGCACACAAGTAGAAACTTACAACACGTCTGGCTTCATTCAAGTATTTGTGAAGATGTGGTTTATATCGAGAAGAATCATCCAATCCTGAAAATAGATCATCCCCTACTGTAATCAAAATATCTAACTGATTTTTCCAATCATTGGGTAAACGTGAATCGTTGGAAGTATTCTCAACAAAATTCCCATCTGGAATCTTGGGAAATAACGTCGCTGCACAACACCACACACAAAAAGGGGGTGGTTCATAGGATAAATGACTGTAAAGCTGAATGACTGAAAAAAGAATGTCAAGTACACAATTTATGCGCGTTTTATAGGAACCATTGCGAAAAAAATACTCATTTGCCAAATGTTGCAAGTTTAAATTACCGATGGAATTTAATCAACTGATCGCTTTTAAATTGTGTTTTCAGCAAAAATTTACTTCAACTTTATTTATGATACGATGGTCTGACGAATAAAATAATTGAGTGAATTTGATTGAATGATAACTCCAGTGGTGAGTTAATGGTTGGGTTGTTTAAGGAACTAAGCTCTTATTCCCAATTGAGCAAATTTTAGAAAACAGAACTACTAACCAACTGGCTAAGTGTACCTAACTGACATAAATCATCAACTTATATACATAATGTTCAATCAGAATTATAAGAATATAGGGTAATTATCAAAGTAATTAATCAACAGTGCATTTGAGGTTAACACATCTAGAGGCTGAGATTCACCTATTGCATCACTTATCAGTTAAAACTTACTACTAACCCTTTACTAATGTCATCACAAGTTACAGATACTCTGAAAATGTTAGTTTAACCTGAACTTTAATATGCGAAATTTATGAAACTTTAGGAAGAATGTTATAATTGCAATGAAAACCATATAGTTACCTTCTTTTGTTACTGCTGTATACCCCTTTCGAAGAACGAATATTAGAATAGTATTAAGCAGGAATTTGTCACGACTTCCTGATTAGTAGGTGTTTAGGCACTGGAACAAGCTTACCATGTAGTCCAATTAACTCTTCATTTGTATGAAGATTGACTATACCACCCTGAGTTTTATGAAAAAAAGGTATATAAATGTTTGACACTCGAGAAAATCACACAAAAAGACAAGTACATGGTACTATCTCAGGCATTGAACTACAGTGAACAAAGGTGAAATATACGAGCAAAGCAGAAAAATGAGGGCTACGGAATAATATGGTGTCCAGAACTTAGAGGGAAACGAAGAGTATGCTTACGCACACTACTGCTACCGATCACAAACTATACTACCCAGACACTAACAACCGAAGCCTGGATCCTCTTACAAGGATTAGATCAATAACCAATAGCTTTGGGGATTCATTCTTGTCTATTTTACAATTCACTTTTTACAACCTACTCCAAACATAACAAGCTGAGGAACGTGATGATTAGCTAAGTATATCTCGTCACAACCCCAATACTCAACCACTTTCTATGTCACGTTTAACACCTGTAAGCAACCACTTTTTCGATGTGCTGGATATGATCACTAAATTCAAGTCTTTATGTTATAATGCATTATAAAGAAATGATGTACACTTAACGACTTCCCACAAAGTCTACTACCGTCAATCTCAGGTTGTGAATGTGTTCAGTAAGGATGTTTACAATCATTTGATTACTGTTCTACAAATAGAAGCGAGTAGTTATTTCAGGCAGATGGTTTGGAAGTACTTAGGCTTATAAGAAACAGTTTGATGTACTCGCCCGATTTCAAGTTTTTCCGGGGAAAATAAGACCGGGTAAGTCAAAGTATCCACAAATAACAATGGCCCGAGACAAAAATCAAACAAACAATATGTATGGTCCCCAAAATCCTTCTGAAAAATGTTGAGTAGATCGTAATGACCATGATACCTCGAAAAATTTCTTGAAGGATATATATCCGATGACCACCTCAGTATCTGGAAAGTCCCGAAATTCTCATGTCCCCTGAGAACCCGAGGAGTATCATTCGTAAGCCTTAGAGGTGACCGTTATACCTGGATTTCGGGGTTTCCCACGACATGAAAATTCGTAGTATTAAACATGATCTAGGAAACTACCGGGGAAAACCTGAAATTCCAAGTTAATATGAATAATAAACCACAGATCAGGTGAGATCTTGAGCTTATGTCACAATTAAATAAAATCGGTATCAAAACACACCCTTGAGACGTTTAAGTGTCTTGAGTTATGGTAAGGAATAAACCCTGGATATGAAGACCCGACCTCACTATTTTGGGGAAAACTTCATTCTGGGGAAGCTACAATAGAAGATTTTGATGAAATGATACAAAAACCCAAAAAAATTCCGGGGGAATTTCTCTAAAATCTAGAGTTGGGTGACCGACAGGTTCAAGACTAATAGTTGGTTTGCAGAAAAATAAAACATAACTCTACGCTTAGTATTCAAACGATGGGCAAACACACATTCTTAAACCCTGTTTTAGGTACGAAGGGCATGACAAGATTCTGGAACAATCAATGGATTATTTAGTGCAGTTTTACCGGTGTATTCATGAGTCATAAGATGTAATATATGGCTTGAAACAATGTTAAAGATGAGTCCAGGTAGCAAAACATCAGGACTCAAATTCGGCAGTACGGCCCCGCGTAACAGAATCAAGGTAAGTTAAAACAAACAAAAGGTTCAAATGGATGTGGATGGAATAGAAAAAGCTTTCGCTTAACAGGCTTCCGTTTCTAGTAGCAGTAGATCATCAATACCTCCAGGCAAGAACCTAGATGTATTAACGAAAAAAGAGAAAAAAATAAATTGGTAAATCATAGCAAGATGCTATCCTTAGTCCTTAACAATAGATCAAGTCGCCTCTTAAGGGACTCCTGGGAAGTTGCTTGTACTAGCTCAGCTGGCAGCGAATTCCAGCATTTGACAACTCTTAAGGAGTAGAATTTGTGCTTGCAATCCGTTCTACTATGCTGTATCTCCAATTTCTGGGTGTTACCCCTTAGGTTAGTGTTGGGACTAAGCCTAAGTAGGTGTTTGAGAGGATGTCCAGGAGTGTTAAGGATACTGTAAGCCATTAGAATGTCACCTCTAGGACGGGAGCAACCCTTCCTGAAACCATGCTGTTGGGGTGAGAAGAAATTTAAGGACAGCAGATAGTCGTCTATACCATGGTATATCGAAGACTCCATGATTTTTGAAGGTATAGAGAGAAGAGCCACCGGTCGATAACTTGAAGGTTCGCTGCGTCAACCTCCTTTGAAAATTAGTGTAATGTGAGCTAGCTTCTAAATTTCTGGTATTTGGCCTCAACTTAGCGAGTGTGAGAACACCACGCTAAGCGGTGTTGCCAGGATTGAGGCTACGTCCCTCAGTATAGGAGAATTAACCACTGAATATACATGTCATTATAATCGAAATAACGGACGAACCGAAATAAAATGGTCAAACATAGAGTGAAATTTGGCGTGTAATAGATATGGAAAATAGAGGTTAAAAATTATTATACGTTTTAAAGGGATCAGTACTAGGACCTCTTCTCTCCATTTATATAAATGATCTTCCTCAACAGGTAACGTCAGACTTATTACTTTTTGCTGATGACGTGAAACTCTGGAGAGAGATACGCAACCAAGAGGACATACAGGCACTTCAGGAGGATCTGACTCGACTTCAAAGTTCAGCAGACGATAACGGACTCACCCTTAACATTTCAAAGTGTAAAGTAGTCCATCTGCGACACGTCGCAGACTACAGTTACAACTTAGGAATCTCCTCTCTAGTATTATTCCGAGTCGAAAAAGATTAAGGAGTCCTAAAGTCCTACACCAACTGTGACAAAAATGCCTTTCGAGCAAACCTGGCACTGGTAACATTGGAGCGCATTTTTGGTCAGTTTGACGGGAGAACTTTCCACGTAATCTTCAATAGTTTCATTCGTCCCCATTAGAGTACGGAAACATAGTATTTCCTCCTACACTCCAAAAGAATAAGGACACTCTGGGGCGTATCCAACGGCGAGCCACGAAATCAGTTCGGGGACTCAAATTTAAACCTTACGATGAGCGCCTCCAATCACTCGACCTTTACCCATTAGAGTATAGGCGTCCTAGAGGTGACATTCTAATGGCTTACAGTATCCTTAACACTCCTGGACATCCTCTCAAACACCTACTTAGGCTTAGTCCCAACACTAACCTAAGGGGTAACACCCAGAAATTGGAGATACAGCATAGTAGAACGGACTGCAAGCACAAATTCTACTCCTTAAGAGTTGTCAAATGCTGGAATTCGCTGCCAGCTGAGCTAGTACAAGCAACTTCCCAGGAGTCCCTTAAGAGGCGACTTGATCTATTGTTAAGGTCTAAGGGTAGTATCTTTTGTGGTGACTTAAACATGCCGAAATTTCTCGGTTCCCAGTTAAGGCGCCGAAACGTTATGAATCATTTATTTAAGGCCTAGAGCTTGGACAATGGACTCAGTATGTCTATAACCCTACTAAACATCAAAATATCTTGGACTTAGTCTTTACCAGTGGCCTCACCCCTAATGCTGTGTATATTGGAAAAACGTTTCCAGGTATTGATCATGACATTGTCATGTGCAGTCTTAATATAAAAACCACAACCGGTAGACGTAAAACCATAACACTTCGTAGGAACTATCGCAAGGTTGATTGGAATTACTTCCACAATTACCTAAGAAGCACTGATTGGGGAACTTCATTTACTGCAAACAATACCAATACACTAACCAATATATTTCATCTGAACATCAGAAGTATCATCAACAAAATCGCACCTTTAGAATGCTGTAGACCTACGTTCTCTAAAGATCTCTATATACCGATCGGTACACGAAGACGTCTCCAAAGACACTGTACTCGATTCCAAAACTTTAATGACTTTTCCTCTTTAGTAACGATGACAGAAATATTTATCCAAACAGAGGCAATAAGTACACAAAAGGCAGTCTCACAGGAAAAACGTGCAGTCGAACTTAACAATAACTCCTCTGCACTCACCATACTCCTTCAAAATAAACTTAAACGTTCCAAATCGAGAAGGAGCATATTTATTAAAGACAACCAAGTGTACGAAGATCCTAAACTTCTTATGGAACTATTAAGTGCATACTTTTGTTTTTCACTAACTAACGTAAAACCACTAAATGATTCAGAACCAATCCCAGTGCCTCCCTGTGAGAGTACTAATGTACACTTCAATGTACAAAATATCCCTAAGGCAATTAGTACATTGAAACACTCCTACACGGATAGACCGATGGTATTCCAGCTAGCATGCTAAAACGTGGAGGTGATGATATTCGTGTTTTGCTTCTCAAACTATTTGCGATATCACTCTCTACAGTGTGGTACCCTACTACCTGGAAACTACACATAACATTGCCAAAATTAAAACAGGACCTGAAGCAAATGTTGACAATTACCGACCCATAAACATAACTTCAGTGGTATCTAGAGTGATGGAAAAAGTAGTTAAGGCGGCTGTAGTCCAACATCTACTTACTAATAATCTCATCTCGACCTCCCAGCATGGATTTCTTAGGTCAAGATCATGCGATACATGCCTAGTAGACTACCTGAATGATATAACTCTGAAAAGAGACAACGGACTCCTTGTATCAATCCTATTCTTAGACTTTAAAAAAGCCTTTGATAAGGTCCCACATAAAAGGCTTCTCGTCAAACTGAAGTCCCTCGGAATAAACGACCCACTGTACTCATGGTTTGCTTCGTTCTTAACCGAACGTAAACAGATTGTAAAGTACAATGACTGTCTCTCATCACCTAGACCAATAACTAGTGGAGTCATCCAGGGAAGCGTGTTAGGCCCACTCTTGTTTCTGATGTATATAAACAATATATGTAACACCATAACATTTGGGAAACCATACTTATATGCTGATGATCTCAAAATAGTATACAGTTATAAGCCTGAGACCCTAAACAAAAGTGTGTAGTGTCGTCGAGCCGTAACACGAGACAAACTAGAAAATAGACATTCAACATTAAACGCTGGGAAATACCGAACAATGAAGAAAGGCGGGAACAGTGAAATGAATTAATACGATTTAATCTTATGGCATGGCTCAACCATGCAGGCGTGGTCCCTCCTGCTAAATGTTACGTTATGTCTTTTATTCATATTAAATATATTGTTCCATCTCTAGCCTAAGCTTGTTATCTATCACGTATTGGTAATTGTTACAATGCATTGAATTGGTGTAGGCGATGATGTAACTTCCACGTAAGATCTTATAGATTAGGCAGTTACATCATGATAAATCTACAATTTTAGGATTAGGTCTATTATTAGAGCAGTGCTAATATCATAGTAGACCGTAATTCTACATTGGTGAGCCCGACTTAAGAAACGCAACCTATTATTATTTTTTCTCTTTTTCACCTGATATCTCTGGATCTATATATACTTATGTAAACCCATTATTCTAATAGTCCTCTGATTAATGCTCATATGTATTATCGTAATGTTATATTGATTAGTTCTCATAAATTACTAGCTCAATCAATAATAAAATCTGGTCATCTACATTAACTAATTAGCTTTTGATGGTTCGTTAACAAGTTTTAGTAGCATTGTCATGCTTCAGCGAAATAAACTTAGTTTACCATCAAGCTCTAGCAAATATGACCTGCAGATAACCTCAATATACATTGACTAACCATGAAATCAAGGACTAAATATTTATCTGGATCTAACTCTTAGTGTTCCTTCACTTAACCCATTCTGTCTTAAACTTTGCACTATCTTGTAATATCTTTTTTCTTCCGACCACTGCCTGCCTAATTTCCAATTCTCGAGTTCCATTGCCAAACAACAAGGATGACACTACTACAAAAACATACGGTGAGTTTTAGCTATAAGTTTTCTGCAATCATAAGGTCATTTTAGATGGCCCGTTCAATGGCAACCACACAATTATCTGGATTCATTCAATTGTTCTGATCCGAGCAAGTGACAAAAACCTCAGCGGCACCAAGAACCCTGGAATTAATTGCCATACTGCATGTTTTATTCTGGATGCATTTGGATCATTACTACTCCTCACAAATGGCGTTACATATGTCGTCTACTGAATAATCCAATTTTCGAAAATAATCCAGATGCTGCTGCCTTCTTTTCGATTTATCTTCCAGCTTATCAATACCCGGAGGGTTCGTATTATTCTTGGTAACCTCCAGCGCGCGACAATCCCACTCAAATTGGTATCGAACCAACGTCACGTTGATTCTGGTGGGAGAGTAGTGTAGTGTCATCGAGCCGTAACACGAGACAAACTAGAAAATAGACATTCAACATTAAACGCTGGGAAATACCGAACAATGAAGAAAGGCGGGAACAGTGAAATGAATTAATACGATTTAATCTTATGGCATGGCTCAACCATGCAGGCGTGGTCCCTCCTGCTAAATGTTACGTTATGTCTTTTATTCATATTAAATATATTGTTCCATCTCTAGCCTAAGCTTGTTATCTATCACGTATTGGTAATTGTTACAATGCATTGAATTGGTGTAGGCGATGATGTAACTTCCACGTAAGATCTTATAGATTAGGCAGTTACATCATGATAAATCTACAATTTTAGGATTAGGTCTATTATTAGAGCAGTGCTAATATCATAGTAGACCGTAATTCTACAAGTGTACCCCTGATCCAAAATGACCTCAATAACTTAACTATCTGGAGTGAAAAATGGCAATTACCATTTAACCTCAACAAGTGCGGGATCATGCAGTTTGGAGAGCATTATTATAAACTGCAACTTGATTTAAATAAAAGTAGAGTCCAGACACTCAAATCAGTACACGATCTAGGTATTAATTACACAAGAAGTCTGGACTTTGAAGAACATGCCTCATCTATTATTTCTAAATGTAGACGGCAAATTGGTTTCATAATGAGAAATTTTTCCACAACAGAGGCTAAGCTTACTCTCTATAAAATATGTGTACGACCTTCCCTGGAGTACTGCTCTTTTATCTTCTCTAATATGAATACCACAGACAAGATAAGAGTAGAAGACGTTCAAAAACGCTTCACACGCCAAC